GGGGGGGGGGGGGGGGGAGGGGGGGGTACTCATGTAAACCCATGCCGTAGTCGTTAGACCGTTGACCTCGCCTCCCTGCGATGCCGGGGCGGAGCGATGTGCCTGGTTTTTGCCGGCCCAGGCTACGTTTCACAAGGGTGAACCAGAAGCTGGTCATCATCCTTGCGTTTGCTGTGCCCAAGTCGAGGGGGGAGGGGCGCAGAACAGATTGATTTTTGGTTCGGGTGTGACGTCACGCGCGCTCTTGTGTGTATGTTGTTATTTGCATCGACCGCGCTACCCGGCTGACCAATGAAAACACGTCAGTCTTAGTGCGGTTGAAAACACAAAACACTTCTATCTGCCATGAACTGGAAGCCCGTGAGGGGGCGGCATGAGGGAGACTAATTTGTTCTCCGGATCAAAGACAGAAACGGTAGCAACAGAAGAACACTGCACCACGCGTCTACCAAGGCTGCTACTTGCTTGCACTCGAGTTCGTTTTGGAGTGCTTTCACTATCATCCTCCTTGCTTTCAACTCCATCGTTCTCATCATCATCATCTTGACAGCAACTTTTCGACATTTCTTCTCTGGCCCTGCGTCGTTTGTTGTGGGGAAGGTAATCTGTGTGTGTGTGTGTGTGTTTCTTGAACATGTGTCCACGGCACTATAGCCGATTTGGGCACGGAGAGAAGTCAGCTTTAGCGCGACGAGCTTTCTCTAGATTGCCAGCAAAAGACCTCGAAACTGGCTTGCTGATGAAAGGCTTTGGTGTCCCGATCGTTCAAGTGTTGTCCTCTTGCTTGACTCTTTTCAGTGCGGTCCCGAAGATTCCGTAATAAACTTTTTTTCTTGCAGCATTCTCGTCTCTGCCCCCTTCGTGCCCGTTTCCCTGCCGGGCTCCAACGTACATTTTCCCCTTGCCGCACGCCACATGCGTTTGTTCTTTCGTCTCACGGAACGCAGCAAGACATCGCTTCGCGAAACGCCAGGAGACAGATGGACCAGGGGCGCCTGGTTAACAACAGGAAGCAGCCGGAGGGGCTTCCGCGGTTCACCGAGGTTGGGTTCAAGAAGATCACGGTGCCGGATGACGTCTGGGACCTCGTCAAGACCTACTATGAGGAGAACAAGTGAGCGGGTTTGGCGTTGGAGGACAACAAAGAGGAGTGGAAGGAGAGAGAGGGGGGGGGGGGGGGGGGGGGGGGGCACAAAAAAAAAAAAAAATTTT